TGGCTGGGTGCTGGCAGGCTTGCACCTGGCACAAGCACCGTAGCCAGACCGTGCCCCTTTAAGGGCTCCGAGGCTGGGAGGGGGGCAGAAGAGTTTCCCTGGTGGTGCCCAGAGTGGCCACCTGGGAAAGATGTGGAGGGCTAGCCTCCCACTAGTTCGAATTAAGTGGCTACACAGCCCTTAATTCAAACTAGTTTATTTGAACTAGGCGTTAGTCCTCGTAGAATGAGGTTTACCTAGTTCGAATTAAGCGCTCCGCTAGTTCGAATTAAGTTCGAACTAGCGGTTTGTATGTGTAGTGCCTATCAAAGTTAATTCGAACTAACGTCTGTTAGTTCGAATTAACTTTGTAGTGTAGATATACCCTAACAGTGTAGATAAGAATCAGTGCTAGTCAGCTGAAATCTGATATCTAAAATAAGGGCTTTTTAAATACATTAAAATTGTTTAGTTATAATATTACTAGTTTATTAATGTGGTTAATTAGTAATCATGCCTCAATGGGCGTAGCTCCCTTTACAAAACAAAACTAAAGATGCGAGTTCTGATTCTTTACTGCCTTACACCTTGTGTTAACCATGTATTTATGACATTTGTGAAATCTGTTTCATTGTGTACCATTTTACCTTTTGTGTGTGTGTGTGTGTGTGTGTGTGTGTGATTAACTCAACTTGATCGCAGAAATTAGAAAGCTCAACTGCACTTTAGTGTTCAGGTTTGTGTCCTATACAGGTTATATTTCCCTAAATTGGAACTCTCTGGTCCAGGAAGATACGTGATGCTGCTGGACCATAGATGATGCTGGACCCCAGAGCCAAGGGACAAGGATGTCTGGCTGAGGGGCCAGGAACACAGTAGGAGGGACCGGCACCTTAGCTAGGAGGTGGGGGAGGGAGCGCAAGTGGCATATTGGGCAGCTTTAGCCCCTAGACGGTGGCCAGGTCAGTGGCAGGGGGGCTAGGGCCAGAACCCGAACCCAAGGACAGTGGGGCTGGGCATAGCCAGAAGCTGCTGGCAGTAGGAAGGGGCTGCAAGCTAGGACAATAGCAGGGGACCTCCCCATGTCAAGTAAATCCCCTTGTTCTGAATCGGTAAGGTCCCAAGGGTACCAGACCAGGAAGGTCCAACCTGAACATGTTGTTTTTAATTAAAAAAAATCAGACCCTCATCGTTAAAATAATTTCAAACATTGCATAAGGCTTTTTAATACTTTTCTTCTAAAGCTTGAAATTTGGGTTTAGTTTGTTAGTCCTTTGGTGGGTTGAAGTTTAGTACAAGTGAAATAAATTAGTTGGCACTTGTAATCATGGATGACTGACTAGATGGTATTACAAATACTATTGTTTCACCTTTATTAAAATGAAGAATATGTAACAATTATAAAAATGTAATTCTGTTCAACCTTCCATCCCATCAATTGATATGAAAAGTGAAGAGATTAAAATAGAATGGGACTTTAAAAATTAGTTTCCAGCTGGTGTCAGATCCTGATCTTATAATCACGGCACAAAAATGATGTACAGGCAGTCCCCGAGTTTCGCGGATCCGACTTATGTCGGATCCGCCTTATGTCGGATCCGCACTTACGAATGGGGCTTTCTCGCCCCGGAGCTCGAAGGCAGCGGGACCGCCCAGAGCGGAGTGGTCCCACCACCTTGACCTCCGGGGTGAGAAAAGCTGCTCCGGGTGCCCTTGGTCTTCTGGGGACCGTCTCCC